TGCCGTGGAAAATTAGCCCGCGCACAGAATGTTGCGTAAGGTCCACGTTTGTCTAAATATTTTCGATGAAAACCGAAATATTTCAGTTTTGGTGACGGTTTCCTATAGGTAAGACGTGTTACGTATATTTTTCACGAAAAAACAGAAAACAGGGGATGAAGAGAAATGATAAAATTCATTGAATGCTTATTGTAGGGAAAAATCAAAGTTAAACGACTCTGCGATAACATTGTATATTAGAATCTGTACGCATAAGTTTGAAGTCATTTAACCAGTCGTGGGTTCAACGTTGAGAGAGTTCCTTGTTTGCGGATTACGCGCCGACAGAACATCGGAGTAGCGCGTGAATTACTGAGGATCGGCTTCTCTCCTCCCCGTGAAACACCCCATAAATCTGGTCTAGTAGCGTCTCTCTATTCTGGACCACGATGTAGACGGAACCGCGAGCTGTACGCCAGCCCAGGCCTGGCCAACGAGTCGGTAAATCAGTCCTAGACAAGTTTCTCTTCGCCTTGTTTCACGGCAAAACGTGCTGCTCGACCTTAAAACTCTCAAAGAGATGCTTCTACGCGCCTCCCCTCGGTCGTGCGTCTTGCCGCGAGAGACGGATCGCCGACAACGGTCAAAATGTGCCACGATAATATTTATATGACCGTGGCCAGTGTATCGCTATAGTTCTTTCATTATCTGTGTCTTTCTCTCGAATACACACTAAAAGGTTGCAACCGACCTTCTGGCCAGTCACACGGTTGGTCACTCTGGTTATAGCATCAAGCAATAGTGACCGAAGTGGAGAACGATGTTACGAGTCCGATATGGACCTGCGAACGAACAAAAGAATTGAAAAAATGATTGATAATTGTTTGACGGAGGACAGACACTCGTACATGCACGCCTTAAAACAAACTACGATAATCAAGGAAGAATAAGACGGAGACGAGGCACGCGCGCGATCGCGAGATCCATATGGACCGAAAGATCGTTGAAAAATGAGCCCTCTCGAAGTAGTGAAGGGAAAGGGCGAACAATATGACATGACGGTCGATTCGAAGGCTTGTTGGATCCATCGAGAAAATAATTTGCGAAACATTAATATTATAACAAAATCATATTCCCCATCATTGTTTAAATAATAATGCAATCGTTAATGAATTGGTATAATAATTTGAAACTTTGAAATGCATTAAATATGTACATCTCGGAATTAATTGAATATTTACGCACAGAACACAGAACAGAATAGAGTAAAAATATCGAAATAATATACACTATACCGAATAAATCGTAATTATATTGTAAACATAGACGAGGTCGCTAACAACCATGAAGTTGATGCATAAAATAAAATAACTTGACCAAAAAATCTGTTTAACCCCGTCGCCGCGTAACCGTGATCGCGGAAACGTCTGCCACTAGAGAGTTAACAATCGCGTGCGGCAAACGAAGCATTGTACGCCTATATCGTTCAAAGAATGTTTGCGCGTTATCACGTGCTCTTCCATTACGTACTTCACGCGAGTGTTTGATTTATGAAACGAGGATTGGAACTGGTTGACACACACCGTGCGTCGGTACGTTAAAACTCAGCTTATTAACCGTGTTCGCTGACTGTCATTATCGCGTGTCAACCGTGTATCGCCAGAGACACGTTGAAGACTCACCTAATTGCACCGATTTCGTGATCCCGCGGTCGCGATAAACGGTAATTGCGTGAAGCAAACGTCACAATTATCGTTTACATGATAATAGAAAATGGAAAACGCAGGCTAGAACTCTTTCTGCCTCGAATAGGCTTTCATTGTGGAAAGGTGAAGTTTGTTGGCTACAGTTTATTGCAAACAAAAATGTATGTTTCGGACAATTTTATTTTAAGTTTCATGAAATTTTTACACGACACTACAAACATTTTAGACTTCCTTTATCACAAATCAAGTTTGCCTGGACTTGCGATGTCCCCTCAGAAGAGACATCCGAGTGCAAAGGGTTGAATTATGTGGGTTCTGCTTCTACGATCGACCCGTGAAAAGTGTCGGTGGTAGCATAACGGCTGTTTCGTCTGAACGAAGCCGATAGCGATAGGCCAAACAGATACTGGACAGAGTACGTAGTTATTAAACTCGAAGCACCTTGCCGTCCTCGAGGAGCCTACTGGCAAGCTTTACACAACGATACATCTCTGGTCCCAGTCTGGTCCGGTGAATCTTCATTTTCGACGGTCCCAGCCGTTATATGCGAAGCTGGTTCCTTGGTAATTATTAGTCCATCAGCATCTCCCGATGGCCACATGGCCGTATAAGAGCCAAAAGCCCGTGGTCCCAACGCGGGCCATCCTAGCTTCGCGAGGCCGCCCTGTCATTATCCGCCCCCGTCAGGCCCGTGGGCCCCATTTCCCTTTCAACCCCGTTCGGCCCGTCTCTGCCAATCAGCGATCCGTCATTTCGTCCCGTCGATATCGCTCGATCACTTACCGAGAAAATCAATCGTCCCGCTCCTCGATCAACTTTTCCACGCCGATAAGCTACGTGCACCCAATTTCGATGCTAACCCAATCATCAACGCTTTCAACGTATTTCGTTTAAGTGGAAAGTATGGGGTTCCCCGGAAGGGCCTTTAATATCTTGTTTCTTAATCAAACACGAGTCGTATGGAATATATTAAATTTTTTTTTTTTTCTTATAAAAACAGATATGATTACAATTACATTGATATACGTATTTTTTATTGGTAGACTGCGAATGTTTATGGAAATTGCATATTTTCATGTGCAGAGGTGGAGAACAGATACTTGAAATCAAAGTATGTTTTGTCTTTTAAATAATCTAATGTGTATCTTATTTTGCATATTCATATATTGCCCTTTCGTTATTTATATTTTTTAAGAAAACCGAACCCTTCAGTTCTTAGGTGCCTGGCCAACTCCTGAGCAATATACAATATATGTTAAATTTTTAAAGATAAAATATCCAGAATTCTCTGTCACCTTCAATAGATTTTCGACAAATGTATCGATAGTTGGAGCGTTCCTTTTAGCTCGACTCCAGTTGCGATCAGTTTTCGTGCGTGACCGAGGCACAGCGATGCTTCGACGGTAATAAATTATTACCAGCCTCGTCTTTATCCAAAAATCTAAACATGTTACTGCACGAGGGACGCCAACAGCGATCAACGATACGAAACCACCCCACGTGAGATACCAGCGCACCCTCATTTCCTCGATCCAATGCCGTTTGCTCTTTCAAAGGACGCTAACGCCCGGTTCTGCTCCGGTTCATTGTAAAACATCCCTCTTCCCGCTTCCCGCTAACAGTGGCCGTTCTCCTCTGACCTCGAGGAGGTGGGGCGGATCACACCTTTTGTGGCATGATCGCACGCGAACTACGCATCATCGTCTTCCATCAGCCGCGGGGATTGGTCACCGATAATGCCTCGTCGTTCTAGAAAATATTTGTTCACAACTTTTTATCAATTCTCGTCGCAGCTGTGCCGCGAGTTGCACGTACGATTCCTTCGAATTCAACGTGTATCTTCATCTTCCATATTCTGGGAGAATGCGTTTCGTATTTAAAACAGCTCGATCAAAATGGCATTTTCATACTTCTCGAAGCCGTGTGTATTGTATACTTGACATCTGGTCTGCATGGACAATCATTTATATCGTGTCAATCTTCGTCTGTACATGAAGACACTTCTGCTCGTCTTTTTAATTCACGATTTTCTTAAAATTCTAGCACACCTTCATTTTATTAATATAATTTCATGCCCTGGGCCCATAACCTATCGAAGAAATCGTACTTGTGACGCTTGTAACGTAATCTAACAAAAGGATAAATTATTCGAATAAAATTCTGCTCGTCTACGACTGCAAGACGACCGTCGAACATTAAGAAATTGATGCTGCCTGCGGTCGTGGAACATTACGCGCAAATTGGTCGCGGAAATCTCGGACACGACTCGGAGGATGGCCTTCTTTCTCCAGCGACAGACGACGAAGGGCGGTTATGAATGGGCCACGATTAGACGGTCGCCTCGCCACAGTGGCGCCTCGATCTTCTTCCATTATGGAAAATTAGGATCTAATGCGACCTCGACGCGTCCGTTCCGTACCCAATGGCGTAGGCGCGACGCTCGAGACCGCTCTCATTTGCAATCATATCCGTCGACCTTTCGAATAATTAAGCGTCTACTCTTTCGAAAAGGCGAACAAGCACGCCACTGGGAGAAACGGAATCGTCCCTCATCCTAACTGAAATTTCACCCGGTATAGCAGCCCGGGCTGCTTCGTATGGTCGACTCGATAGGATTTGAAATTCAAACTCCTCGATTAAAATCACATTAGACGCTCGTAAATCGGTGTACCCGTCATCTTCTTGCGCCCCCTTTTCCATGGATCTCTCGGTGCTCTGGTTCCGAGGCAGCTCGAAGCGTCGCAAATGTCGCTGTAGATTAAGCGATAATTTATTTCCACGGATAAAAAGGCCGACGGGAACCGCGCGCACTTTTTCCAGAAGTGTTACGACCGAGACAGACGGGCAACGTCGGCGTCGTCGGCGAATTCCTCGAGTTCCACTTTTCGTTCGCGGATATTATATGCTCGAGTTTGTCTTGTTAACGCTTTCGCGACATTCCAGCTAGGTGATTCTTGCTATGTTAGTAAATAAAAGAGGAGCAAGTATTAGGGGAATCGGAAAGTAATGTCGTTTTTCTTACATTAAATTCAGATAAATAAGCTTGGAACAAGTTTTTATTATTAATCAATTACGTAATCGCTCTCGTTACCAACAACCTTTTGCTATCTAGTGAGCCAATTTTCAATATCTGGTCGATCAAAATAAACAAGTATTGACGTTCGCAGAAACATTACTTTTTGGTCTCCCTGATAGGTGCGTAAAAAGGATTAGCTGTGAAATTTTACGTTTGGAGGACCAGTAAGTACGTTGAAATAAACGAAATCTAATATCGTAGTCCACTTGATCGTTGAGAATCTTATTGCTGCTAAGCAGAACATTCACAAAAATTATACAGAGCTAATACATTGTAAAAGAACAACTCCGCGAGAACATTCTCCGGTAATGATACAGGTACATAATGATACACCGTTATTTTCTTAAACCGGTATGACATCACACCGGAATTTCCATACCTTTATTTCTATCAAATTTTCCCATACGCGACCGGAAAGTATCGGTACGTTGTCGGTACTCCGCGTTCCAGTATGAACCTCCGTATCATAGTACATTAACCCAGATATTACTATCGTTCTATACAACAGTCAATATATCGATTTATAAATAACTTGCGAATTAAGACGTATATCTCATCTTGCGAAGAAATTAAAATTATTCGGTAAAATGTCGATATATTAGGACGTGAAATTTACGCGAGTCCATAGAGTCCATCCATAATTAAATAAGATATCATACGCAATATCGTACAGTAATGTTCGCAAAATTCGATACAAGAACGTCACGGCACTTAGCCGCACGAAATAGTAGGTTCTGTAAGGAGAGCCGGCCTAGCGCAGCCGGCGCAAGTAGAATGAGGATCGTGCGTAGGCAGACACGGACGACGCTCGTTTCCTTTGTGCCCGCTTTCGCCACGCGACATTAAAGTTCAATCGAAGTTCCCATTTCAACGATGACGACACGCTCCGAACTGTTCTCCCGTTTCATGAATCGGCTTTCGCGTACGCTGCAACTAAAAAAAAATAAAAAAAAAAAAAAAAAAGACACAAAAAGTAGCGGCGAAATTCACGACAAAAGCTGTTCGCGTGGAATGTGGATCCGTATTTGTATATCAATTACGAAGGCCCGCGTAGGGTCGATGAACTTTGCTTGTTTCGCCGGTATCAGATAGCGGCCTGTCGGTATTTAAATACCAACGGCGTGCATACCGTTACGTCGAACAACGAGGCTGAAGCCTAATACGACAACTTCGGGTCACGTAAGCCTCGTCCTGGAACAAGAGGAGTCCGATATAGAGGGGAAAGGGTAAGGAAGAGGAGGAAGGACGAACGTGGAAAGACTCGATGAAGCCGAAACTCACGGTGGGAGAGGGCACCACCAAAGGCTGTACGCGTGCCTCCTTCGCGACTGCGCGTTGCGCGCGCATTTCACGGTTCAATTATCGAGGGAGGGCTGCGGATAGGTCAGGAGGAAGCGAGAACGAGCCGCGAACCGGTCGTGGCTGGACGGAGAGGAGAGAGACCAGCGTCGAAGGTGGGAGGAAAATCGGAGGGGGTAAATAAAGTAAAGAGGAAGCGGGCACGGCACGGAGGCGGTTAGGGGCGGTTACTGGTTAGGTCTGAGCACCGCCCAACAGGCTCTGCCCCTTTTTTGCCCGGGGGCCGAAGTCCTGGCCGCTTCCCTACTACCATTCCCCTGTCTGGTCGGGGCAAAGCCGATCGGATAGCCGGCAGTCTGTCACGGGGCGAAGAACGGGAACCACGTTAACCGGTTTCCCTTAAGCATCGCAACGTTTTGCGACCCACTGGCATTTTTTTTAACGCACACCCGACGGCCGTGGGGAACCGACTCCACGACCCCTTCGACCGAATCGAGTTCTCCAGTACTCCTGTGATACACCGCTAGTGAAGTGTGCGCCGACAGAGACTCTCTCACACGTCGCGAGAAACCGTCCAGGTGACGCGTCGGGCCACGCAGGGAAGACAGTCGGTTTCGTGGACCAGCTGAGAACCGACAGGATTCCGCCAACAACCGGGCCTGCTCCCTGAAGCGTCAACCGAGATGTTGACCGACATGACGCCGGCTGCGGCTGGACAACTCTACCCGCAGCTACAGTCCATCGCCAAGTCGCCAGTTCACGGACATGTGGTGAGTCCACGATCTTTCGTCGATTTTTCGAAGCTTTGAGGATTCGAGTCATTTACGTTCCCAAGACCGAACTGAAGTCTCGAGGAGTGTACTCAAGTTAAAGTAACTTCAGGAATCTCAATCCTTCGTGGATTTGAATCAGTTCGTGCAGTTCTTAAGACCGAGCTGAAATCTTGAGAATGATATCCAAGTTGTGTCAAACTCTAGCCTCGAAAACTTCAAGGATCACAACATACAGGTGTAGCTTCAAACTTCAAATATTCGATTCTTCTGTAATTCTTAAGACCGAGGATTCTAAAACCCTTGAGTATTGTATCCAAGTTGGGTCAAACTCGAGACTCGAAGGCTTCAACGATTACCAACTTCGGGAGTCTCAAACCTTTGAGGATTTGAGTATCGTTCACTTCATAAGACCTAGCTGAAATCTTTGAGGATTTGCATCCAAGTTGCGTCAAACTCGAAAACTTCAAGGATAACGATCTACAGGTGTCTCAAAACTTCAAATATTCGATTCTTGTGTAATTCCTAAAACTAACCGCCAAATTCGCGAGAATTCCGTTAAGACTTCCGTTATTGGAGGCTTCAAAATCATCCCCGTAACGATAGGAACATTCTGTTCTCTCGACTCTAGGAGAACTCTAGAGCGTTTTCAGAATTCTACCACTCTTCGCGTGCGACGGAAAGTGGCTAGCACGAGTCCTGCGATTCTGCAGTCGGTCGGTAGATGGTCTCCTGGCGACGGAGGAGTAAAAGGTCGAGATCAGGAGTTAACTAATGGCTGGATTTGTTCTGCGATCGTGGCCGCTAAAACCCCGAACCTGCCTTCCGGGGTAAGGGTAGCTGTCAACCGTCGATCTCCTCGGGGCAAGGTCAATTACTCAGCCTCCTCCCAGATAGGGATCTTAATCCGTCCAGGTAGAACACGAATAGTTGATCTCGCTGATCAGGTGCTACTGTTCGTCCTGTCACCTTCGTCGAAGATCCTTCGACAGCCTAAGCGATAAAATCGAAGATCTTGTCGAGGCGGGTAAATTAGGGGCTTTTTCGACAACTCCTTTGACTGTTCGCCCGTCTCTGACCGCGATCGATTAGATAAATGGACTTCAAAAGTACTTAAAAGTCAGAGGACCTGGACAATTAACTTCCCAGACCTGTATTGCATAATGTACACGATCGAAAACCTAACGAAAGCTATCCATGTGGAATTCTATAGAATTTATTCATGATTTTCCTTGTTAGGATATTCGGTAAACTCGGTATATTCGGTTTTGACTTTCTTTAGATTAAGTATTAATTTGTTATTGTATGTTTGTCATTTCGGATAGTGAAATAAAATTCATCCAAGGGTTGAAGAATTGCAGATAATATTTCTTGAATTGATGGTAAATTATTTGATTGAGGATTTAATGAAATTACTTCATGCAAAAACAGGAGAAAGTTTCGTAGTACTTACACGCGATCTTTCCTTATAGGAACACCTAGTAGACTTGTAAATTCAGCCTCTCGTTATTCAATTCGAGCGTTATTTAATTCGCAGACGTATGACTAACAAAGGAATAATTTCTCTTTCGAAGGATGAAATAAAATTCGTACAATACGGAGTTCAAAAGTGCCTTGCGTCTCTTCAATTATAACCATCATACCTAAACATGTATGATTATAAGTCTTACATAATTAGCTCACTCTGTTCCCGTATATCAATTCTTACCAGATCTACAGGTTCAACCTATCGTTATCTAATCTAATGATTAATTGATTTCCAAGATCCATAAATAGCCGCGGTGTAATTTCTCGTCTAAAAAGTGGAATTCGTTTCACGCAATAGAGGATTAGAAAATATCTCGCAGATCGTATCTTTTCAATTAAAGGCGTCTAGATTTAACGGTATCGTTGCTCGAGGACTCGCCATGAAAATAACCTCGTTCGTTCGCTTCGGTCATTTTATTGTAAACGTGCAGCGTTCCGAGATCTGGAATGCGACCGCTCCTTTTTGCGCATTGATAAGATTGAAGGAATCGAGACGACAACGCCTCGGTTGCGCAGATGCAGACCGTTTCCCGTATCCTGGCGCATCGAACCTCCGGCGTTGACATTGTCCAGGCAGGCCGCAAGGATCCTCGAATCTACCTGGCTGAATTATCAGCTTGCGCCGCCTGTAATCCCGCAGATCATCCCGGATGATCCATTCTGTTTTGACAGAAGCGACGGTCCCCGAAGCCGCGGGCCCGTTTTCGCCGGTGAAAACGTTCATGCCGCTGCCGTGGCAGCTTTTGTGCGCTCTCTCGACACGTGTTCCTACTCGCCGCACGCACACACGCGCACCCGCGGGCCTTACCGAAGCTTTTTCTTTTTTTTTTTTTTATTTTATGACTCGGCAAAAAGGAAGAACGCTCCGTGCCGCCGTGGCCTCGGCAAGATGATTTACGAGTCGATGTAAAAAAGTAATTAAATCCGTGGCATCGAAAAAGCGACGCGCACGAGTATTAATTAAGTCAGCAGAAAAGTTTCCTGTCGGTGTGTGTCGTGCCCCGAAAATTAATCTCGCCGGAAAGTCCTCCGACGTGCAGGCTCTTCCTGCTCTGTTTCAGACACGACCTTGCTCTTTTTACAGCCGCTGCTCTTGGTCCCCGTGACTCTTGAAACGGAACCACGAGCAGGTTCTTCTAAACCGTATGGCAATTCTAGAACGTAAACGCTTGAGTTTTGAATTCGTTACTCTTTCAATTACGTATGTCTTTAAACAAATTTCTATCGGGGTCGGCTCTTCTCATGGACTTTTAGATTCAACGCTGTATCCACCAGCAATCTGTTCATAGGTGTTTTGTTTTTAATGCTCCTTTAGGAAACCTACTTTCTATTTGAAGATGCGGAATAAATTTCTATCCAAGAAAGAAAGAATTTCCATCGAGATTAATATTTATGGGAATTAAGTATCGAGAATAGTGTTTGAAGTATCGTTCAAGCTTATCAAAAATCCTGACAAAAAACTCATCGAAAGAGTTATTAATTAAAAGTATCTCTTACAACATCGATGTCAATTACGCTACATTTATTTTTGTCAGATTGAAATATTGATCGGTTTAAAATCCCCAGTGGCACTCTCTGAATCGAATGACGGATTCGAAATTATCGGGGACGCGTCGCTGTCGCATCGACGCTCAGAATGTTGCAAACAGTTTAGTTTTCTTCGCTTCTTTTCTCCTCGTTCGGGTCGTCGAGCACCCGATCCGAATGTATCGAGTGTCCTTCGCATAATGGTCCTTACGCAAGGTTCTCAGGGATCAAAGGGACTGCTCTTCTACCTGTGCGCCCAAGGAGCCAATTATTTGTCTGCTCCTCTTTGTGCACCGAGAGGATCCACTTGACAGGATGCGTGGGATGGTAACACGATACGTACTTCCTCTCGTCACTCGATCCCTGCAACAGGGACACACAAGCTTGCCAAGAATGTTCTCTTTCATCATTTTTGTTGTCATCTTCTCTGGAGCTTACGCGCGCCTTTGTCGCGTCGCCAACAACGTTGCGTCCTCGTTACGTCGCAATAATGCAACTTGTTATTATTATTATTATTATTATTATTATTATCGTTACGAACGGTTATTATTAAAAGTTCCTTTCCCCGAAATTTATTTTAAAATACAAATCGTTGCAACTCGACCAAATGTTATCGAAATTCTTTCAAATTTTATACAGGGTTATCTGGTTTCGTTACGTTACTGGATTCTGATAATATGTTGACTTTTTTGTGAACGAATATATACGGCCTTCGCTGTCAAAGAATGAACGATACTTACATTTCCAGACGTCCGGGAGGAATGATTGATTAGCGAAATACAGAGAAATTAAGTAGGTAGATTGAAAGCAAGTGTAATAACTGGACTGTGGATTTTATGCCTTCATGACATATGATAATGACATGGTATGCGCAACGCATGTAGAGTATATTTCAAATTAGTATAATAATAATGCACCACAGATTAGTATCTTTCCAACAGGTCAAACGCATGATTATTAAGATTAATCGTATCGCATCTTGTGGCACCCTATTTTATTTTTGATGCAACGGGAATTAATTAGCTAAACAACCTTTTTTCTCAGAAACAAAGAAATACAGAATATACATAATTTTCCTTCGTAACTTAATGCAAATCGTATACGTTTCATTTCAATTCATGGACACATTATAACTAAAATGTTTTCCTTTGTATGCAATCATCAATGAATTACGTTTCCTTTACAATAAAAAAAAAAAGCTGGGGAATATTTATACATTCCTCGTAAGGCCTAACTTCCTCTTTTATTACCGCTGTTAATATTTCATACCGTATAAGTCCATACATCCTAGATATGTTTATCGTGTTCTTCTCGCGTTCCCACGCTCCATAAATGCATAAAATCCGCGATCTAATATTAACACCAGGCAACGTACGTACGAATAAGTCTCTGAAGCTGACCTGTTTAGAATTGCAAAGGGAGCAACCGTTCGAATGTATTCAATGAGCAATAGAAAATCCCATCTTATCGCGTTTCTATGTAAATTATTAATCACGATGCACATTCTAGGTAGAAGATCGAAGCAATTTATTATGGACTTATTGAGTGCCACGCGTTGTGGAACTTTCGTGTAAACGTTCGTCGAGCTGACTTAGAATTTGTTCACTTTCGTGAGACGCGTTTATAGTTTCACACGTTCTTGACTTCGCTGTGACATCTATCACTTTAGGTCGGCTATAAAAGCCGGAATAAAATTCCAACAACCTTCGGAAATTATGACAGTGCGTTTTGAAATATATTTACTTTCGAAATAGCGAGAAGAAAAATCGTGACACACCGGAGCGACTCCTTAATTATCGAGTCAACGTGAGCAGTTTCCATTGGCGAACATCGTGCTATAAGTATCCGTAGTCGTCCATTTCACGTCGAGGATCGATCGACGTTACATCGATACCCATTACATTGATCGTGGGAGCACGGAATACCGTCTGAATTCATCTCACTAA